TTGTAAAAATGTGCTAATAACGTTATTCTGAGAGTTATTTCCCTCTGCATTATGAATGCGCATCTAACCCACGGGACCGCGCCGCCCGGCACGTTCATGTTACGTGTTACGTGAGAAAGATTATCTTTCGATCCCGTTTGAATTGTGCCATGAATTACACATATGATGTTTGTCAATCTTAAATAATAATTTCCATGTCAAAAAAGTTTGTCGTAAAACTGTTAGACTATGAAAAATATGCAACTAGAAAGACCACAAATCCCAGAATCCCGGTCCCGCATGCTGGCTCTGACGGAACCGACTAACTCCCCTTGTGTGTATACGTACAGTTCTCAACATGCCCAGACTTGTAGTGATTTTAACCTCTTTTAATACTTTTCGCCTCATTTTGAAAGAAAGAGGTGAAATGTGCCAACGTGACGGCCGTCTTGGTGTGTGGTGCGAGACGGGAGATGTAGTTCATTGAGCGGTTTCACACAAAAAAAGTGTTACTTCACAGTTTTACGACACATTTTTTTGACTTGTAAAATTATCTTTTAAATTGACAACATCATATATGTAATTCGTGGCACAATTCAAACGAGATCGAAAGATAATCTTTCTCTCTCCATTGACTTCAATGCATAACTTTTCCGAAATAAGGTCCCATGGAGCTCAACCGGAAGGGGAGGGACTTCACCTCTCTATGGGAGCATAACAGGGCCCCTTTAACCATGCTCTTTCATCAAACCCCTATTTATTTATTGATCTATTAAAGGCAACGATTTATCTGTCCACATTTTTTACTGACCCCAACCTGTAAATGGTGGTTTTCTCGAGTGGGCTCAGAATCTTTTTATTTTTATAATTAAGTGAAAATGTAGCGCACCAGAGAGATGGACTCACAAAAACACATTTTCATTATGTATTTAATCATCTCGATATGAACCAAAACAATAAAGAGAATTATTAATATGCTTCTGGATGTTAGTAAAAAAAACCACAGAACCTATTTCAAAAGGACATTATGGCATTACAATCAAAAACAAATTGTACAATTATTTCACAGTTTAAAGTGCATGTGTGATCCACTGCAAAACTTGGCAGACTTATGATGCATGAAAAGTGCAGCTGAAGTATTTTAAGAGCAAATGTTGTTTTTTATAGATGTTGACATGTTAGCTCCATGATATTATGAGGTAGACAAGGGCTCTCAGTGTTCCTTAAATCTTACATTTGTTCAATAATCCGTCCAATTGTATCAATATACACCATCTGCTTCTACGTCAGTTGGAGTTGACGTCTTTGTAAAAGATGTTAAGGCCATGTGTGTAATATCTGGATCCATAATAAATGTCACTTTGAGGTTAAACAATTATAAAGTTCTCACAAAATATTCCTCAGTACGTAGAAGATGATATATTACAAAGATTTCACACATTTCATTATTGTATCGATTAAAAAAATCATTATAAAAAAACGTGCATATAGCAGTATGGTCCATAGCTTCATAAACCGTACCAGACTTTTTTTGAGTGCAGCTCAAACAATTCTTCATTTTTAGACTGGAGCAGTTAGCGTACAGGATCACAAAATGAATATAATCATGTTTTATTTTGTGATCGAGCAGCTGGCTTCAGGTTAATCTCCTTCAAAGTCATTCACATTTAAAAGGTTATTTTTTATTTTATTTTAGAAATGTATCTCTGTACAAGCACACATTTCTTTACAAATATTTAAAATGTTGCTTTCTGTAAAACCCTCAGGGTTGGGAACTCTAAGAAAAAGAAAAAAAAGATCCACCAATCCTGTACTTTATAGGGTACAGTTTTGCATATTCCCTGCCCAGAGTTTTTTACATCTTCTTTATATATTTTTTCATAAAGGTGTGGTATTTTTTCTCTATATTTACAGTATGTTTCTTGACTTACTTATGCAGTTAAAAATATATATATATTTTCTCTTTCCATGACTGTTGTTATCCACAAAAACACCAAGGCAGCTAATAATGTTTTTAATGTATAAGTAAGAGAGATGAAGTTGAAACTGATTTAAACCCCTAGGCATAAACTGTTCTCACTCTCCCTATTCTACGAAGTAGATTTAGCAAGCGATTTTTTAACCTGATGGCCAGCTCTCTTTATGCTCAACAAAACCTACAAAATGCTAACTAGTATGTTAGCCTGCTAACCTTCTTCTATCTCCTGCTTTGGAGTTATTCTTGATTTCCCAAAATAACATCTTTAGATTTCTCTACAGATGTCAGCAACACTTCTAACTCCTTTAATTGTCTTAAAGTGAAGTCATTATTTTTGTGTTTCAATCAGAAAAACAACGGTTCAAAGGTTGTTTTTAGCTCAGCGGAAAAAGTAGTGTTGGTTTCTAGAGCAGACATAAATGAAAAAAGGCGCTCAGAAAGAGACGCTGTGTGGACACTCTTCCTTTCCTTCCTTAAAATAGGAGGTTTTTGCAACATACCCTGCAGTTGAATAAGGATTGTTTAAACAGAAATTAGCCTCTCTGATAGGATTTATTTTTGCATCTGCTGTGCTTATTGCAGGCTCCTTAAGTTGTTATTTCCCCCCCGGATGTCATGATTAACTACCCTCTCTACGCCAAGTGCTCATAAATTAAGTCATAGATGCAGCTTTGAGCTAAAATCTTCCTCTCTAATAAGAAATGTATTAATTAAAGATTACATTCATTTTGTGATCGCCACATCATCAAAGTTTGAGCTTTCTACAAAAAGAGTCGGAGAAGGTGGAGAAGATGAGGAGATGGAGGAGGAAGAAGAGGGGGAGAGAGCAGGGCCTCCCCCCGCTGTTGGTGGGCAGCGTGGGGGCAGCGGGATGGAGTGGAGTGGTGTCGTTGCTGGAGGTGCCTGAAGATAAAGAACCCGCCCACAGTTGATGAATCCAGGAAGCTCTTGAAGCGGCTGAGTTTTGTATTTTCGTTCACTGCTGCTGCTTTTGTTTCTGGTCTTATTGGCTGTGCTTTCAGCGGAGAGCACCACCGCCTGGTAACCAGGAGCCGCCCAGCTTACACATAATCGGACCGCCAGAGTCAGTCTGAACACACAGACGCACAACATTTAGGAGGGATGGTGAAACAATATTACCTCTGTAAGCTGCTGATTGTCTTACTGATAATCTTATATATAATTAAAAAGAAACCTAACCCTAACTACTTCATTACCTCTTAGTTAAAATCAAAACCAATCAACAGCCTACGTGACTATATACACTTTTATAGAAAGATACCACTCTCAATCATCGCTTTAGAAGCTATGCATCAAAGGAAATAAAATACATGTTTGCATTTTTGTACTACACAATAAAAAACATTTGTATGTCATCCATTAACTCTTTATTTATTTAACTATTTATTTCTGCAAATGTGCAACTGTGCTATGCCAGTCGTGATATATAAAATGACAAACTAACTATTAAAAAAACTAACTATACGACACTGTAGGGTACAAAAAGTAAATCACATAAAATAAATCTTTATTAATTATGTAGATATTAAGCAAAAAACGATATATGAATATTCACATACTCCTTGATGTGTTCTTATAGAATAAAGGAAAGTACCACCTAAGCCAGTGGTTCTCAAAGTGGGGGGCGCGCCGCCCCAGGGGGGTGCAGAGGCATGACAGGGGGGGCGCGAGAGACCAGGAGAAAAAATGGTTATTACAAAAAAAAAATTAAAAAGATTTTAAATAATAAAAAAAAAAAATCATATTTAGAAAAATTATTGATTCGAAAATAATATGATACAGTACTATTACGTCTGGGTGTCTGTGTTTCATTAAAGCTCGGCTCTGTGTGTGTGTGGAACGAGCCATTTTGTGTGTCTGCGCGAGCGAGAGAGAGAGAGAGCGCACCGGTACCGGAGATCGTTGTTGTTAGCTTCTGGTGCTAGCGAGCTACGCTAACGGATATAAGGAGTTTTTTCAACAACAAAGTGGAGGAGAGTCCTCTCCTGTCAGACTGAGAGACTCAGTGAGCTAAAGGACTCTCTCAGTGTTATCTCAGTGGGTCTCAAAACGTTTTGGTCACCATTAATATAATAAATTAAAAACAATTATGAAATACTATATGACATTCAAAAATGTATAACGTTTAAAAGGGGAGTGATTTGTAAAATATCCATAAAGAAATAGTAAATCTGTTTACAGTTCTGTGTTGAGAGATGTATCCATACTGTAGATCTCTTCATTTTGCTCTCAAAGTGCACCAGATTGATGCTTTAACTTCAATATTTAAAAATAAATCTTCCCGGAGGAGCTTGCCCCCGGACCCCCCCTATGTGAGGTCCACACACCACCTATAAAAAATAGCACTTTACCCCTGCTTACACCTATATGCCGTGAGCTGATTATTGAGCCTTCATTGTAACAGTTGCGGGTACACTGTGTGTATGCGTGGGGAGTGTTGCAGTAGAACATTCCACTTTAGCGCCCGGTACATTAATGGGAAACCCTAAATGTTTGAGCACCCTCTATGAAACGTCAAGCTACCCCACAGTACCCCCAAAATAAATCTTTGGCGCCGCCACTGAGCCTGACTATTTGTGTTGGGGGGGGGCCCGACTTTTTTTTTCTCCTGACAGAAAAAGTTTGAGAACCACTGACCTAAGCCGACATGCGAGTTTAGTTTTGATAGTCTGCATACTTGAATATAAGCAGTAGCTTTGTATGAATCCCCGTTCTGATGTGCTACACAAACAATACCTTCTTACGGCTTGTAGAAATAGTGTTACATTTAAGTCTGTACCTCTAACATAATGAAAATCACTGAGTGTAGTGCTTGTAGGCAGCTTTGTTATGGAGCCTATTTTAAAAATGTTCAACTTGTCTTTCCAATGTAATTTTTTAAGTGTCCAATGTTAAAAGACCCTAAAACACATTGATAAAACTGAAAAAACATATGAAAGTGAAATAATCTCCTAAATTAAAACATTGAGCAACACAGACATATAGGCTAACTACATAAAGAAAGAAAAAATAAATAACTTACTGGATCCAGTGTAAAAGTGCCGGTACATAAAATGTCACTCGACGACGCGTTCCCACAATTTTCCACAGAGGTCTTAAACTCCTGCAGGACTTGTTCTTCTGAAGAGTGGAAGAACAAAAAAATTAAACATCTAAATTGCTAAAACCTGGACTTGAGGTACTTTGTAAGTGCCTATATTAGTGTGCAAATGTTTAATCTCACCTCCTCCTTTCGCAGAGCTCCAACCAGCAACCCAGCAGGACGTTCCCACGGAAAAGGTCCGTCCATTGTCCATGCAGATGGGCTGGATGTAGTCGGACAGGGTGGGCTTGGGTGTGCAGGTGCAGCACGGCTACATTAGACCCTATCATCGTGCTCAGAGTGATATTTGACACGTTCTTTTTCACCTCAAAGCGGTTGAAACCGTTCTGTTTCAGCCGACCCAAAACAACGGTCCAATCAGATGCTGAGGGGGAACTGTGGGAGATAAAACATGAACTCAATATTGACCTGCAGAATGAGTCCTAAAACCCTGAAATTAGTTAAAACATTTTGGTTAAATGCTTAAATAAGCTTCAGATAATTGTTTGTTTAATGACATAAAATACATCGGTAAATATGTTCTTTGAGAATTTCTAAAGCTTATCTTAAAAGCGGTAGCTCACTATAGTGTCTAAATGTGAATACTTAATGTAACCCCCCTGAACATTAGCCATCTTTATCCTAGTGATGACCGTAGTTTAGCTTAGCGTAGCCATGTGACAGTCGTATGGTTCCTGCGTATAGCCTAACGTTAGCTTTTTACTTTTGAAGAATTATAAAAGTGGTGTTAACATAAGGGATTATTCTGTTGAGCAAAACATGCAACTATCATAATCGTTTGTTTGCCACATGGCATACTTTCTGCAATAACCCAAAAATCTAATTTCCATTGCATTTTTGCAGAGGGAACCGGGAATATGCTCACTTCAAGGTTCCCCTACAGAAAAACGGTATCCCTGCAACACTCCATAAGGAATAGGAAAGAGACAACATCAACAGCAGGTTGGCCATCTTTTGAGGATACCTGCGACCGACCGCAATATGTATACTAACCTGTGCAGCCAGTAAAGTAACTGGTTTACTGGTTCAATCGGAACTATTTTAACTTGGCATTGTTGTTGATTGTAACAACAATACGGTAGCAGCCAACTGCTGACTGTTTAATGCGAGTAAAATAATTGCTGAACTACAGTAACCCTTAAACAGAACATTTCATTTAAGACCTGAATTGTGGCAAAATATATATAAATATAGCCGTAGATTAATTATGCAGCATAAGTCAACATTTAGTTATCATTCAGTCATTCAGCATAGAAAGTGACAGCGGCTGCCTTTGCTATAAAAGCTTTCCTACAAAGATGGCTGTGCCGCCCCAGAGAGCACCGAATTCCCAGGACTGAGCAAGCCCTCAGGAAGAGCGCCGGCTGTTTAAGCACATTTTCGAAGTGGCCAAACGGCGGTACTACACATACTTTCCAGTCAATGACGTAATTGTGGCCCTAACATGCTTTTCCCCAATTGAATTACATTGTGAAAGAAACGTCTGTAAATCAGCGGATAATTATTTTTTAGCTTAAAAAAAACTACCCAGTCCGAACACTTTTCTATCCAATATTTAAATCATTAGAGTCTAAAAGCTGTAAAAATGCAGAATCCAGGGTTTTTTCCCTCTCCATGACGGAACCAAGAGTGGGAGATTGGAGTCGGGGCTAAAGGAAAACTCAAGTGCTCATGCTCTATGGGCCCAGGTCGGGTACTTTTTGAATCTATAGTCTTTCCATTTCGGGCTTCATGTGCCACTTTCATAGGAACTAACGGGGCCCCGCCTCCGACGTTGTATCTAGTTCTCTTTAGACATCTGACTGAAGTGAATTCAAAACTTCCAAACCTCCGATTGGTTTAAAAATAGGCGTTTTCCATAAAGTCCAATATAAAAACCATTGACACAGTGCGTTGTTGTAGGCTAGACTTACGTCTGTGGTTTTCGCACATGTAGTTACAAAGCAGTGACAATGCAGCCTTTGAGAAGACCATCTTACGACTAAAGTTGGACATACTTTGGTCGTCATTTGTTGGAACCATTACTCCAGGTGTCTTACCTTGTGAAGCATTCGGCGTTGCTCAAGACGGCGTCCTCGGCCACCAGAGTCCCGCCACACACATGACTCCCGTTCTTCTGCAGACTCACCATCCAGGGCCACTCGCCAGCCGTCGCCACCGAGCTTCCTCCCACAATACGTGAATTCTTCGGGGCTTTGCCACAGACCACAGCTGGAGAAACAATCACAATCAGATTTCAGTTTCTTGTTGCTCTCAAAGCACTTAACACAGCTATAGACATACAGCTAAAGACAAAAGGAAAAGGGTTAGTCAGTAGATAGCACAAAAAACAGCAAAGCAATGAACCTGAACCAAACCAAGTTTTATTAATAACTTTAGAATTTTTTTTCCATCTACCAGATTTGATCTATTATAAATATTTGTATATATTGTGGGATGGCATTGATGAAATAGAGATCATAGTTTAACAAATAAAGAGCATTTAAACAATAGCAACAATGTATCAGGTGTAGAAAAAATCTGCAAATACTCAAAATGAGATAAAAATTGTTTATGACATCAGTTTTTGAGCCACAAAAAAACCTCAACTGGACTCTCTGAAGGAGAAAAATCTTGGAAAATGTTTTCCAACAACTCAATGACACACTGGTCAGCCACAGGAGCAGCTTCAGAGAACAACCCATTACACCAAGATGCTCCACAGAGCACCACAGGAAGTCCTTCCTGCCTGTGGCCATCAAACAGGAAGTCCTTCCTGCCTGTGGCCATCAAACAGGAAGTCCTTCCTGCCTGTGGCCATCAGACTCTTAACTCCTCCCTCACCAAGAGACTCACTTAACCATCAGCAGCCAAACCCTTTTAAATTGTGCAATTCAGCATTTTATTTGATCTTTTATTGGACATTTTAATTAAACTACTTATGTTTATTTAAGTATCTTTATTTAATTGTATTTTTTTGCAGCACAATCTTACTTTAACGTATGTCAATATAAATATTCGCATTCTATATTATTGTATTTGACCATTTATTGGACATTTAACTTGAATTACATATGTAAAGATATAAATATCTTTATTTTATTTCATTATGCATTGCACATTTTTACAATAACTTACACATTTTTAAGCAATGTTTTTATATTTGACTTTATTCTCAAATGGAGCAAGTGTCCTGCAACGCAATTTCCTCAAGATATAATTTTTTTTTAATTCAGATTCTGAAAATGTGGCCTGCAAAAGACGAGGTAAGGCATGAGCTAGCAGTCCATATTGGTATAAAGCAGTCAATAAAACACTGTTTTTAATCAGTTATAAAGACCAAAACCACTTTCTTGTTCATACAGCCATAAAGACAAACAACATTAGGCTTTGTTAGCATGAGAGGTTAGCTGGGCAGATTCACATGCTTGGTTGTTATAACAAAACTGAAGACAAACATTTGACATTTTGACATTTGACAACAGAGTGTACAAAAACACATAAAGCTAACTACCACGTTTAGACAATGACATTTTTAAACTATGAAGCAATTAAATGATTAATGAAACAGGAAGGAAGAACATGTATACAGCCTGGGGTTTAAAAAAAGTAAATAATACTACTGTATAAGAACAAAAGTATCATCAGCCTGTACCTAAACTATCACAAATAAAAGTAGTCATTATGAGAGTGACTCTATAAAAGAGATGTATTATTATAGATATACATTTAAGAGATGTTTGTAGATGTTGTAATTTGTCAATGTCTTATCAAATAACTCATGTTAGTTATTTAACTATTAACAAAAACAATGTTAATACTCAAAGTACAAATACCTTAAATTGTACTTATGTACAGTACTTGAGTAAAACTGCTATAATCTTGTGTTAGATGGAATATAAAGTCCTGACGCTCCTACCAGTGGGTGGAGGTGGAGGTTGAGTTGTGGGTTTTCCAGAGCTTGACGGCTGTGGAGTGACCTTTGCTGTACAATCACAACGTACAGATTTAAAGATATTAAACTCAGGTGCTGAAGACACAGTATTACACAGAACTTAATATTTGAAAGTTTCCAAATACAGCAAACATTTCAGGGTGAAATTTCGTGGGGAGTGATACACATAATTCTTCAATTTTCAAAGTATGAATTATTATAGATATAACCAGGGGTGCACATAACTTTTTTGCCCTGGTTCTCAAAGGAGCACCTGGAGATGTTTCTTGGTGCTCATCCTTCAAATGAAATAAACCGTAACTTTTGAGGGGGTCTTGACTTTATTTGCCAGACACACGGCACTGAAAACACATGCAGAGGTGAACACAAGACAACATTAGCACGAGCAGTAATCCTACAAGCTGTCATCACTACCCTCCTGACTGTTCTCCTCACTGTCTTCCTCTCTGTCAGACATGGTAGCTGATGATGTAGGCCTACTACTTTCTCTCTGGTTGAGTCTGCGATTAGCTGCTTGCATCCACAAGTCAACAGCTGGGTTTGGGTCGAAAGTCTCTGTTGTCATCTTAGACAAGTGGATGTAATCAAATAAGTATGTGAACATAACCAATAACCTACCATAGCCAATAACAAATTAATGTAACTTATTTTATTTATGTTGTTCATTCATATCTTATTTTACCTTAACATTTATTTATTTATGCATTTTTTTAAATCTTTCCAGTTTTAAAGGATATTTTTGGTTACTGTCCTATAGTATACATTGGAATGATTTAAAACCTGTTTATCCCAATAATTATAAAGGAGTGCCTTGGAAATATGTGTTTACATAAATTGTGATCAAACCGTTTGAACTTAGACTAAAGTGAACTATCTAAACACTCAGAGTCCTTTACCTCACTGAGTATCAGCCTCTTAGTCTGACTGGAGAGGACTCTCCCTCCACATTATTGTAGAAACATCTTCTTCTTATATCTGTTAAAGCAGCTAGCACCAGATTCTAATAACAACAGCGCGTACTGGTGCACCCTCCCTCTCTCCCTCGCATTTTGGCTGTGAGCTGCGGGCGCCAGATAAGCCAACATCCCCCATTTTCATCACTTACAGCGCCCACCGGGGTGAAAAGGGTGTTACAATTACTTAATTATGAATATTGTTACATCAAGGCCGAAAATTAGGATGAGCCCCAACGGTCAAAAATGTTTTTTTCCCTCCCAGAACTGCCAGCGCAGCGCCTCCACAGATCTGGCACCCTAGGCGAACATCTATAACGCCAGTGCTACGGACCGACCCTGAGTTCATATGCAACTCGCAAATATCTTTCTTTCTCTCTCTCTCCTCTCTTCTCCCTTCTCTCTCTCAATTTTGGTGCGCAAATGCGCCTTTTTTGGGCGGAGGTGCGCAGGCGCACCTGCGCACCAGTTATGTGCAGCCCTGGATATAACACTATTCTGTTCTTTTCTTACCAACAAATACATTAAGAGATGTTTGTAGATGTTGTAATTTGTCAATGTCTTATCAAATAACTCATGTTAGTTATTTAACTATTAAGAAAAACAATGTTAATACTCAAAGTACAAATACCTTAAATTGTACTAATGTACAGTACTTGAGTAAAACTGCTATAATCTTGTGTTAGATGGAATATAAAGTCCTGACGCTCCTACCAGTGGGTGGAGGTGGAGGTTGAGTTGTGGGTTTTCCAGAGCTTGACGGCTGTGGAGTGACCTTTGCTGTACAATCACAACGTACAGATTTAAAGATATTAAACTCAGGTGCTGAAGACACAGTATTACACAGAACTTAATATTTGAAAGTTTCCAAATACAGCAAACATTTCAGGGTGAAATTTCGTGGGGAGTGATACACATAATTCTTCAATTTTCAAAGTATGAATTATACAGCTACAACGTAAAGTGGAACAAGCTTAAACAGAATTTATAAAAAGAGGAAACATTCCAAATACACATTTAGTTTTTCTCTATTTGTGTACATTCCAAAAGCGAGCAGTACATAATACATCATTTGAAAATGTATCACTAATATTTCAGAAAACTTGTAATACAACAAATATTTGCCTTAATGCAAGTTATCTATTAGGAACGTTTTGTGGTGATATCTATCTGTAACATGTTTACCCTTTCCACTGTAATGTGTACAACATTTAAGAGTTTTACAATATATATCTCTAAAAGCCATTTTCAAAAAATGCGTATTATCTCATTCAAGAGATCGAGTAGCACTTGCATACAATCAAATGTACAGTTGTATTCCTATATAATTCCGAAGGTCTGATGTAAAGTATGTTTTTTCAAATTAATGGAGTGAAAAAGATATTTCCAAAATCTCCTCTGTAAAAACCTTTGACGCTAATCTTTCAACAAAATGAAACAACCATATTAAATCCGTCTTTTCCACATTTCTGTTGCAAATGACTGACAGGTGACAGGTACTCACGTGTGGGTGTAGCGGCGGAGGTTGGAAGGGGGGGCAGGGCCGGGACAGGACACGCTGAGGTCGCTGTCAGTTCCTGTGGACGTGAAGGTCATGAAGCCCGGCTGGTTGCTGGTGATTAGGCTGTTGATCCAGTCCTGATACCGGGAAACTCTGGAGTAGACTCCTGGGAAATTAGGTGTGGCGCAACCTTGCCCAAAACTCACGACTCCGTCCTGGATCCAGAAGCCGCCCTGCTTGCTCACCAGCGCACCGCCTGAGTCCCCCTTTAATGAGAGGCACATTTAGAAAAGGGTCTTTGCGGAAGGTCAAATATGAAAGTCTTCAGGTTCTTGAATGCAATACAAATATTAATTCCAGACTCTGAAAATAGTCCACTACAAGTAACGTTTCTTTGAGTATGCAATCAGCTAAATCTAGCCCAGTTAAAGTACCTACTTAAAGGGTATTGATCCTGCATTAAAATGTTTCCGTTTAGTTTTTGTTCTACAACATAAAATACGTCCGTAAAATACTCCATTTGTGAATTTCTGAGCACAGTTGCAGAAATTAAAGGACACTACTAAACGTCATCAAACATTAACCACCCTTAGCTTAGCGGTGGAAAGGTGAAGTCATGTGACTGTGCTGTTGTTCCTTCACAGCTAATGTTAGCTGTTCGATTGCATTAATGCTTCAAAAACCATAAAGTGGTGTGAATATGTAGAGCTTGAACCAAAACAAGTATCATGAATGTGTTTTGTGGAGGGAAACAGTAAGATGCCGAGTTCAGGCTCAGACCACCAATATAGACACCAGTCTATTAGGGTACACCTGCACCATTTTAAGATAGATACTGTGTAACAGAAAGGATTGGAGAAGGTTGGGTCAAAGATGCTCACCTGACAGGAGTCCTTCCCTCCGGCCCGGAGCCCGGCGCAGATCATGTTGTCTGTGATTGTATTCACTCCATAGTCACATTTGCACTGCCTGTTCCCCACGATGGGCACCTCCACCTCCATGAGGCTTTTTGGGGATGGAAGAGGAGCTGAAGAGACACAAATACACACTTCTTTAAGAGCACAGCATTTTTTACTGCATTTTAAAAAGATTACAATGAATTACAACTACTGCAATTATGAAGTATTACAGTGCTTGAACATATCATCAAACTTTTTTTTGTATCTAATAATGTTAAAACGACCTTATACATAACACAATGACATTTGACAAAATGTAATGTTTGTTAAATGTGTGGTTTGTAAAATATATTTTGAGGATTTTTTGTTTTATGTTTTTGTGAAATATGTTTTCTGATTTGATTTTGACGTTTGTGAAAAGTTTTAGTAATTTGTGCAATTTTTCAGTGTCTTTTTTTTTGGGACACCCTTATGAGTGCTCAGTTAAGTGCTCAATGTAAATCTAAATGTTTGTTGCATTTAAACAGCAGAGTTGTGACCTTGCAATAATAAAATAAATGTTGCCTTCTGAACCCACTTTGAGCTGCGATGTCCCCCCAGCCGGTGACCCAGGAGTCGGTGCCGCTGAAGAAGGTGCTGGTCGAGGCTGCCAGGCACACGGGAGCGATGTAGTTGGTGAAGGAGACCGGAGAGGAGAGCTTCAGGAGGCAGATGTCGTTGTCGTTGCCTTTGTAGTCAGGGTGATTTATGATCTGTGTAACCGTCCTCGACACCTCGTTAGGGTTGGCGCCTTCTTGATTTTGGCGACCCAGATACACCTTCAGGTTGCTTGTGCCGGGACTGGAGAGTTAAAACAAATATATATTAGTAAACTTATATCATAGTCAACTGATGATAACTCACTTAGTGACATAAATTAAAACAATTATAAATTGATTGATTCATGAAAATTAAAATGATCAGAATCAGGTAAAGTAATTTTTCATATACTGTAAAGAGCATTTGCTTTGGGGTTTACCGTTGCTTAAAATAAATTGTAAAATAAGACTTAAAAAATGTACTTATAAACTATTATAAAGTAAAAATAAATGTAACCAATTATAACACAAACCAGATATAAGACTAAATGTACCATAATTAAAGAAACTATAACAATATGACCAATTACTGTAAAAAAAGCAGTATATCTGAATTAAAACTGGAAGAGCTGTGCAGAAAAAGTAGTGCTTGGGTTCACAGTACTACCCCCCGCTCCAAATAATTGTACATGATAGGCTAAGGGGCGGGAAATCTCTAAGCGGTTGACCAATCACATCAGAGCCAGCTAGCTAACCAATCAGAGCAGACTGGGCTCTGGTTTCAGACAGAGGGTGAAAGAGGTGCTGCAGCAGGCAGTATGAGAAAAATAAAGAGCTTTCTGAACATTAAAGCATGGAGACATGTCCCAGTAGAGACACTACATACTGATATGAACCTAAAAATGAGAATAATATTTCCTCGTGAATTAAGTCACATAAATACATTTCATTATAGGATATAGGACACACCTTTGGAAGCAGTGAGCCGCAGTCAGCACCCATTCAGTGTTAATGAGGGACCCTCCACAGAAATGTTTGTTAAATCGATGCAGGCTGGCCTGCCAGGGCCAGCTGCCCTCAGGCGCCACCTGTCCTCCAACGATCCTGGTGTTGAGCGCAGGCTTACCGCACTCTGACAGAGACACACAACACAACACAGTGAGCCCCTCTGCTCTCCCGGGTTTTATATCGAGTTGTCATATTGATTGATTCTGATTGACTGCAAAGTTAATTTGTAATTTTGAGGTTTGTATGTGCATCTGATTGCCAGAAGTCTATAGGCTGTTAGTGACATGTAAATGATATGATGACTAAGCAACTTTTTAGAGTTTTTGTGGACAACATTTTGTTTTTGTTTGGAATAGATAATAGCATTTTAATAAACTGTATGTGTCTGGAGGATGGCCCCTGATGGGATTCTCATTTCATTCTCATGTGTGGCGCTGAGTGTAATTGAGTTCAGCACACACGGGTCTTTAGCAGGGGGTCTCATTTTTTCAAGTTGTTGTGTTTTTTAAGAGAATGAATTGTAACATGAATGAACAAAAATAATAGCAAAGATATATCAAGCAAATTGTTAAAAATAACACAAAGTGTTAACGGAAGTAAATAAAAAAAGTCCATAAAACTTCGACTTACCATTTAGTTGTGAATGAGACTCTGAAAAATAGAAAAACAAACATATTGATGAAACAGTTATGAATGAACATACTTATGTTTCTATAATGATATTTACTTAATGTTTTTTTTTTTTACTTATGTTGCACATAGTTAATGTTGTGCAACACGTTGTCTGGTGTCCCAACAAACTGGTTTCACTGGCTCCATTGTTGAATCAAACATACAAACATTCATAGAGACCAGAAAGGCCACATATCTCTTAGAGCACGACATTTCTCCACCATGAAGTGTGCTCACAGACAGACGGTTCTACATGTACTTTGAACGTAAGAACAATTTGGAGTTATTTGCCCAACTTGTTTGGTTGGTTGTTTGTTCGTTCACACCATGTAAAGCAGCCTTGGGTCTCTTGAAGGACGCTATAATAAATGTAATTATTATTATTATCATTACATGTACTTGAATATTTCTTATATGTTAAATAATCATATTCTTATTATGTATGCATTGTTGTGTTCATCTTTTAAAAAAGGTGCATCTGGAACTTTGAAAAATATACTGCTGGGTAAATAAATATTACCAATAATAAATCATTATTCAATATTGTTGTGTCTTAAGTAAGTAATTTAAGTGAGCATATGAAATAAAGTAAGAAGTACAATATTTCCTCAAATTGTGGTGGATTAGAAATGTAAAGTAGCAGGAGATGGAAATACTCAAACTACAAGTACCTAATATGAATATTCATTTTTTTTACATTCAATATTTTCTATTATTATTGTGAATTATTATTATTAATATTATATAAGTATTTATGAATATAAAAGTACATATTTCCCTCTCTTTAAAAAAAGGGACAATAGTAAAATGTTCCTTTAAAATATATATTTTTTAAATATTTAATGTGTTAAAGTTCACTGGCAAAAGTTGTTTTAGCAACTGTTTTACAGATTGACTGTTATTTAAACTAAATAAATCCCATTTTTGTATTTTTAGTGCATGATCAACGGCAAGGCAATGTATCACAAAAAAATATATTCATACACCTTTTTTGCAATAAAGGACGCATTCTATGCATTTCTGAACTATTATTTCGAACGATAACTTCACTTTTGGTACCTCAAGCGTATTTTGATGATAACATCTATGTAATTAAGATTCTCAAAGCAATACTTTAATATGCTAAGGTATTATATATTTTTTAACCACTGAATTTCCTGTCCTTAAATAATTACATTGACACTAATTCCTCTTTAATATAAGCCAAATGTTTCTGGTGTCATGAAGAATAAAGTCTTTTAAATGTAAATACAAGAGGATTGATGTACCACAAAATAACTTAAAAATAAGGAAAATCAATCAATATGAGTTTGATTATAACTACATCTTAAACATGGCAATTATATTACACTAAATATATAATTAAGTAATCAAATACAATGGACATTTAAAGCAGAACTACAAGTTGGTTTCTATGACTAATAAATCACTTAAAGCCTGGCATTGTGTGTGGCTGCTTCACTCTCAGAGGATCTGATAAAAGAATGGGACATGTATACAATAGAAGAAGGCTTGATAAAGGACACAGGCTGGTGGTCATTGGTTGGACACATATTGTTGTAGACTGATTGTACTCCTCTCAGTTATCACCTATAATTATCAGGAATTGCCCAGCAGACAAAAGCTGCAAAGGTTCAAATTAGTCATGTTTTGACATCTCTCTTTAATCTAACGCATCTTACTGGAAGATATAATACTTTTATTCAACTTAACAACAACAACAACAACAACAAAGTTACTGCAAACTTCCAATAATTATTTCTTTTATTATGTTCAATAAATACAGTTGGCTGTTTTTCCCCTTCAGAAATAATTTTTCTAAATAATTTCTTTAAATGCAAATGAAAGAAAATGTAATAAAGAAAACATTTTCTCTACTATATCATATTCAAACATTTTACTAATGCATATTATAGTTCAATTAAATGAACTCTGCTCTGCATTTTGATCCTTTTAAGTGCAATATTTTCAGTTTGCAGGTCTCCCTTGAAAAAGAGATCATTGATCTCAATGGGATTTTACCTGGATAAATAAAGGTTTTGAATTGAATTGAATTAAGGCAATGTAATAAAAAATGGAATGCAGGATTTCCACTGTAAGTCCCTCAGACAGCAGTTAGGTACGTCAGTGTGTGGTGCAGCTGAGGATCCTTACCTTGAGTCAGGAGGGAGAGCAGAGCCGCGGCACAGATCAACCTGTAGAGAGCCATGACTGTGGGTCGATACTGCAGGTCTGCTGCGGCATTAAATAACTTCATCTGCCTCTCCACCTCCCTCCTACAGTGTCACCTGTTCAAAGACACGCCCAACACCATCAACATTTCTCTGAGCTGCAGGGAGAGCATTCCCATTAGTGCAGATATTACCTGCTTTATTCCACTGTTCCGCATCTCAAGGGGAATTCCACACCTGTAAGGCAGTGATAGACGTAAGAGGTTGTTTCAACTGCACTATTTCTTAATGCTAAAGGTCTCCTATCATGCAAAATGCCCTTTCTGATGTATTGTATACATAAATATGTGTCCCCGATTTTGCTTCAACAGTTCAGGTGTTTAACAGCCTTATTACCTGTGGGATGAAACTGTCCCTGAGTCTGGGTTGGCATGGATGTCGGGACCAGTGTGGTGTCTCTGTGTGAGACTTGGGACCTGTGGTCGGTGTGCCTGTGATTGTATCTTTCTGTATTGTTTACTTTTATCACTTTCTTTTGAAGAAAGTTATTCCTATATGGCATTGAGACCTTTTTGCTTTGACTTGTCGAACAACTTTTTTTCACCGGGGTTATTTAATATTTTGTCACTTCCCTTTTCCCCCTAGACTTTAGGAGAAGGTAATGCCAATAAATAATGAACTTGCAGAGTGCACTTGCATTTGAAAGACAGTCAAAACTAAAAAGCAAGAACAAGCAAATCCCCATGGGTAAAAATGGGAAAGAGTGCATTTAAAAGACAAAAAAAACAAAACGAAAGTAAGCAGACAAATAGTTAAAAAGGAAAGAAACATTGCAATCAATTGCAATACTTCTGTATTAAACATTGCTCTTACAATACTTTCAATGAATTAAAGAGTAATACACGTTTCAGAAGCTTTAGTTACGCTTCAGTGATCGTATTTGTTATCTCAAAAAACAATAACAAAGTACTGATACTCAAAGCTAAGATAAGTGTTATGACTGATGCTAACCCTCCCACATAAAATTAAACACATATTTAATCAGGCAGCAGATCTCACCTCTCAGCATTCCTGTCTTTCACACCCACACGTATATTGTTTCATTCATTAAACCCAACTAATGTGAACTTAAAAATGTCCCTAAATTCACCTCTCAATCAACAACATCATGTTCCATTCTATTTTTTTGTTGGATTCACATAATGCTGGGAGATTGTGATCTTGAGAGGAAGGATAATACTACAAAAGTGTTGAAAAAACCCCTCAAAGTGAAAGTCTTGCATTCTAATACAGAAGTAATTCCACCTGAAATATGCTTAAAGCATCAAAAGCACTCAGTATGCATAATCACCGTCCATCGGGGCTTACTACCCATAGTGCTCCGATAACCACTGGAACTTTACTATATACAGTATATCACTACTGGGGAAATATTTTCCAAGGCCCATAACTTTGACCCAGTTTATCAGTTCAAACTGTCCTGACTGAGCACACGCACCTCGTAACCTTGGCTGCTGTGATCTCAGTGTTCTGTCTCCCTGTTCCTGCCTGTTGGCGTCAGCTGATAGAGGTGTTATGATTTTATCTTGTTATGCAGCATGTTGATGATGCTCTCTGAACTAGCTAAATACATGGGTCTGGGGTAGAGTTCTTCAGAATTGACGTGGCAACTCTACCGTGCAGTCAGATCGTCAAGCCCGCCTTAACCTGCCATCAGGCCCTGGGGCTGATCGTTTTTGTAGGCCCCCTATTTAAACAACAAATCAAAGTCATTTATAGCTTCGGCAGGCTCTGTGATCGCACCTCTCCACTCAGCTCTATACGCGCACCTGGTCCTCTCCTCCAGATGAGTGACGTATCGGGCCTCCTTCATGTATCTGTCCGGTTGCCGTTGGCTCCTCTCCACGTAGCAAGTCCTCGTCGTCCTCCCATCTCCTTCAACAGATAATGTCCCTCCTGTCTGTTTTTCCTCTCCCGTACTCCATTGCTATCAGAACCAGACGGCCTACTTGGCTCCGAGGCCCCGCGGCCGGCACCGCTGCCGCTCGGTACAAAACTCATCTGTCCTTCCTCCTCATCCTGGCCTACAGGTTTAAAATAACCTGTAAGCTTCGGCATGTTTTGTAATAGCTGCTTGTCTCGAAACTCCTTTTCCCTCAACAATTTCCTTTTCCGAGCGCCACTCTCAAACTTTTTCTTCTCCGACATTTTCTCCTAAACAACCTTCATCTGTCACTCAATCACTCTCAATTTGAATACGTCACATGTGAAACATATTCTCATTCTGATTGGCTGTTAAGTGGTGCCCACTGACTGTTTCGGAGTCATCATTTTTGAGAAAAATCTCTGGAATCCATCGATCTGATTGATTAGCGGAGCAAATGATCAAAAATAGTATGGAGGGAAGATATTTTCGTTTGGATTACTGGTCTGGGGGAAGCTCACGAGTGTGTGTGTGTGTGTGTGTGTGTGTATACGTGTGTGTGTTTGTGTAATTTTGCGTTTGTGTGTATTGTGTTTGTTTCCCGGGGAAAATACTCACGAGAAACACCGGCTGTTGTTGTGCCTGCTGTGACGTCAAGTTACTCCGTTCTCCGCTTGTAATTATGCCGTTACAAGCTTCAAAGCTTATCATCTGAATTTGCCGAAACAAGTTTAATATTCTGAAAGCCAAGACTTTGTTTATTTGAAATCAGATAAAAACAAACTGTAACGGACCCTGCCGTGTTATCTATGATTACTATACACCTTACATTCATAATTTCAGCCGGAGGGAGGGGCGCTGTGGAAGTGCAGGGTGGCGAGTGAGAGCTGTCATCTTCCCTTTACAAGCTTCAAAGATGTATTTATCGTGTGATTTTGGAAATAAAAGTTTCATATTCTGAAAGCCAAGACTTTGTTTATTTAAAATTTTTAAAAAACACCCGAAAAAAAAATAATATATTTTTGTATTGGCTCATGATAGGCCCCCGATCTCCGTAGGCCCCTGGGCTTCAGCCCAGGTCAGCCCGTGCATTAAGGCGGCCCTGATCGTGGCTGCTGTAACTTGTGATGTGAATTCTCCGGCCGAAGCTCCAAATAAACCATCAGTGTTTGACATCAAAGCTCCTGCTCTTCCCGTGTCTCTTTCCTGAGTCGGTGACTCCCACTGCATTGCTGCTACACAGAAGTTTCCCTTACAACTACTTTCTACTGATTTATTACCTTTATAATGTTTCATTTATAAAATACAAAAGAAAACGTGTTGCCAAAAGTCATTAAAATATATAGGGTATGCAAATTTGTATGCAAGTCTACCACTTAAAGGTGGGGTATGTAATTTTTGGAGAAACCAGCTCGAGTGCGCTAGAATTTGAAAATACACAGCCGGAAAAAAAACTGCCACTTCCTTACAGAGCCCCTCCTCCAACACACACAAACGCGCACATGACCAATGAGGGCACGAGATAAGTTTGTGCACAGATGGAAGGCTGACAGTCAGGTAGGCCATCCAGTTATTTTAGCCAGGCCGGCTAAAATGATTGGTCGTTCTTTTTACAGTACTACGGCTTCCACGGATGACATTTTTTTATGTATTTATTGTCAAAGCATTTAATGTATTCATTGCTATCGGGATGTTAGCATTCCATGGAATATAACAAAAAGTGTTTCTGAAGTGAATGACATACCCCACCTTTAAGTACATTTACTTTACACCACTCTGCTCTATAATTTGTGCAGTCAAATGTTTTCAAATTCCACCAGTGAGTCAGATATGTTGGGTGTGAATATCTTTCCTAAAACAGCAAAGACTTACGAGAAGGAAGCAATTACACAAACTAAAATACCTTCCCCTGTGGCTCCCCATCCATGTCTTTTTGAAAAATGATCACTTCATCATAGAAAGATGTTTGTGTGAAATTGGTAAAACTTGCATATGAATTCTTGAGTTTTGGATTTAAACATGTTTTCTGAGGACACATTATCCTTTGACCCCGAATGAGGAGATCCCTCAGGGCGTTCAGGAAGTCAATCAAGGCAAGGCAAGTTTATTTATATAGCACTTTTCAACACAAGGCAATTCAAAGTGCTTAATCAGTCAAGTAAGTGTAATCATAAACAACAACAAGACAAACATAAAACCAAGAGCAGGGTAACTGATGCTCAAAGGGACAGTGTGTAGAATGTTGGACTGTTATCCCCTCATCTTCCCTTGACAGGACTTCTGTAACCAGCAAAATTGCATTACACCAAAGATGCTCCAAATCCACCTCAGCTTTGCCCGCTGTGTTGGTACTTCCAGTTTTAGCGTAATTGATAACCTTGCATAGCGTTGCCAGCTTCATCAACATTTTAATTGCCAAATAAACATTGTTAAGCTGTATAATGTAATGTTAATATGTGATAACACTTATTAAGGCAAGAAACTTACCATTTCGATTACCAATATGAACAGTTTATCCAAACAATGCATATTTGAGAATTGATGGTGATGGTTGGTGCAGTGAGGAGCTGCTGGCTGTATGGAACGGCGGGCTTAAAAAAGAATGCACAAGTCAACAATGTTTTGATAATTATTCTCACTGCCAGAACTGTAGACACAGCTCCGCACTGCCAGTTTAACCAAATGGCGTTAAATAATAATTCAAATTGAAATCATGAGAGCCACAAATTTGGTGAAAGCTAGCTAGATAACAAACGTTAGCTAGCTTGTTATGTAGCTAGATAAATAGATAACATTCGCTAGCCAGCTTGTTAGAAAGATAGCTAACGGTCACTACATAGCTAACGTTACCTAACTAAATAGCACACTGCGCAGTTAACTGAATTTGGTCTCTATGTTAACTTGTTTTCATAAATGTCAACACTGTGGACCTTTGTCTCCCCTTCTCACAGAGAGAGTTATTATAAACTGTCGACATGATCTTTAGTATGGAGTCTGACCGGCCGATATGAGTTTAGAACTTTACATATCTCCTCATAGAGACATCAGTCACAGAAAATACACTACAGAGTTAAAAAAAAAAAAAACACAGACTAAAACCATTCCTTCACTGCATTGTAGCTCGGAGAGATCCAAAATACAATTAATTGTTAATTAACAATGCTGC